TCTCAGCGGATTGCAGGGCCGGCAGGCCTTTTTTGATAACCGGAACCTGAACTTGGCTCAGGGGTGAGTCTCGTTGCGCCATACATTCTCTGAAGTTTCTTCATTGACCAACAATCTCGTCATATTACTTGATCATCATCAGATCGGTTGAGCTCCTCATGGGAAAACCTCCTTCTCTCAAGAACCCTGATGACTACGGTCTGACCTACCTCGTCCGGCCGCTTTCTGCCCTGCTCCAATCCCATGTGCTTTCCAAGCGCGTTCCAAACATTTGCAAAGACGTCGACGCATTCACAAAGAATCTCCTCGTCCAGCCAGTGTCAAAGTCAAAGTCAGTCCGTCCATGACCCCCATGGCTCATCTTCATTCTCTCAGGTCATGTACTGGTCATCATTGATCAAATTATTCATATTACCAACCCACTAACCTTGAACCCATATAAAGTCCCCAGTGGCGCACAACAGATATCTATACCACCTTCCCGCCTCTCGCTTTCCAACTGATGCACCGAGCGGTGGGCTTCACCGAGATCGCCGACTCCCCGTCCAGGATACGCAAGACCCGCAACTTCTACCACCGCTTCGAAAAGAACACCAGTAGTGCGCACATCATCTTTCCCTGGCTCATCACACCGAGTTACCTTATCCAGGGCGTCCTCGCCGGGCGGATCTGGCTAGACATGCACCGTCTCCTTTCTGCTCGACGGCTTTCCCAAGCCAGATCCCGGGCTTCAGTGCCTGAGAAAGAGAGATCCAAATATGACGATGCGATTCAACTGCTTATTCAGAAAGGCAACTCCAACTTTGAGATAATGCAGTTCATCTTTTTCCTGTTCATTGCCGGGCTGGGGACAACCTCATTTGGAGTATCATGGATGATCATCCTTTTAGCTCGATACCCGGAATGGCAAGTCAAAGCTCGGGAAGAAGTCCAGCGCGCTATTCAACGACACCGAACATCAGCTCAGCAAACCGACAATGAGGTACTGGCCACGCTCACCCTTCAACAATGGGAATCAGCAACCGAGTTTCCAATCTTGTCGGCGTGCTTGAAAGAAGGTCTGAGGATCTTGCTGCCGGGGGCTATGTTTCGGAAGAATATCTCGGGAAAGGAAATTCATATTGATAGTGCTACTAATGATGAGAACGCAGGAGGGCAAATAATACCTGCAGGATCGTACGCGGTCTACTCTGTCGCTGATACACATATGGACAATGAGATCTATCCCGACGCAGAGAAATATGACCCGTCGAGGTGGCTGGATGATGATGATTCTCGGAGGGGAGGACAGCAGCCACATACTTATTTGGCCTGGGGCTCTGGGAGGCATGCTTGTGGTGAGTCTTTCTTCGTTTATGCTTTGGCTGACAGCCTACATTTGTCTTTGGTGCCAGCTAACAAAACAACGTCAATCAGCTGGACAACGGTTGGCAAGATTACTGGTTTATATCACGGTCGCGCACATGCTAGTCAACTTTGACTTTGAGTTGTCCGATCAGGACGGGGGACCAAAGACCGATGGTGCCTTGCCTCCTTGGTCGACCAACTCGCATCGCTTGGAGGTTGATGACCGGCCGATTTACCTGAGGTATAAGCCCAGAGAGTGAATGGAAGCACATGGGTACGTCTTCTCGGGTTCAAGCAGGAAACAATGATTGATAGAGTCCATACCAGGAATTATCAGAAAATCTACACCACCATACGACATTGTAAGGGACTGTTAGGTTAAACAACCAGACGTTCCTAACCCTGATTTGGTCACTCCACCGAAGCAAGTGAGGACGGATAGCACCCACCACTGTATAGTTGGACTCTGACTCATAGAGTTCACCTACCAAACAAGGACCAGAATAAGGTTTCACATAAAAGATATAAGGATATAACCTTGAACAAAACAAATCCTTTCAACAATGAGACAACAGCTGGGTGGCGCAGCGGAAGCGCGCCGGGCTCATAACCCGGAGGTCGCTCGATCGAAACGAGCTCCAACTATTCTTCTGACACTTCTTTTTGGGGGTTAACCTTCCAACCTTTTTCTCTCTTGCTCTCTTGGCTTTTATTTTCCTTTAAACTGGACCATAGCCTCGGAACTGGCCTAGGCTTGTTAGTTCCTAAATTTCCTTACTCCAAGCAGCGAGGAGTGAAACTTTTGTACAAACGAGTCATCGTTTATTGGCTATAAGCAATCTCAATCCTTTGGGAAAGGAGACATTGCATTTTTCTGCCATAACAAATCAGGAGCCGGGGAACTGGATTGTCCTCTAGACCTCTACCGCTGCGAGTTACTCAAGAATGGGTTAGGATGCTTTCTAGTCTAGAAAGGAATCATGAATTGGGCACCTCCAGGTTTGCCATGTCGATGCCAGTACTTCGCGTATTCAAGTAACGCCGGCTGAGTGTGATCCAGATATCTTCGCGGTACCTGGCATATAGAGTCCTGCATGTACCGACCGGCTTGGCAGGGACATGAATTAAAGCCGGCAACTGCAATTTGGATGGATTGAGTCCAGCAATCTTAGGCAATAGACTTCCCCAGTTATTGCAGGACCCCATTCACAGGAGGACCTGCGGGGTCCAATATCAGAAAGGTTTAGTCATCATTCACACCGCCGCCGGCTAACATGGGGACGTTATTGAAGCTGCCTCAATGAGAACATATGCATAACATGGGATGATGGCAGACGGCCGGGAGAGTGGTACTTCGAAGGCCCTTACGACAAGAGCTACCACAGACGTTAACAATTTGGGACGATATCTGCCAATATAGCTTTCAAGTTACACACCGGTACGTCGATATCATCTCCATATGCCCCCTCATGCTTGTAATAATCAATGATCCTTATCCGTAAACGATCGTTGGTGGTGTGTTATAGGGTTTCTAGAACACAACCCTTCTTCTTCGCCTCTAGTCATCATCAGGAAAGATTCTCGACAGTGCAGTTTGTAGCCCTAGAAATTTTCATCGTCACCAGTCTCCAACATTGAAGATTGGCGACCATGATGCCTCATCTGGCTGTTCTCACAGCATTGGCCAGCTCGGCCATTGCCGCCAACGCCGCTCTTGCAGATGGCTGCAACACGAGATCATTCACTATTCCAAGTTGGCTCATAGAAAACTACACGACTACAGGTTCCCGAGCAAGCTTCCGCGTCCTCAACCGGGCAACAAACACCACTACGAACTTGGTCTGTCAGGCCACACCAGGTTCCGATGGTACGAGCAGCTGTACAGCCAGCAGCAGCAGCGCAGACCAAGGACTTGTGGTTTCTCTCCAGCCCGTGAACAGCACATCTTCACGGGTGTTGCTCAACCAGACCTGGTCATGCTACGATGTCAAACCGTACGGTCAAACCCGTTCCCAGCTTCTTATACAGCGAACCCAACCCACTAACAGATCGATTCACAGTCTCACCTTCACGGCAACAGGAAGCGGCCTCCTTTCATCCATCTGCGCGCCCTCAGAGATCTGTATAACCGTTATCCCGCCACCGACATTGATAAAGGGATCCCTCCGTACACCAGTATCCATCACTCCATCCTACGGAAGCGGCCCCACAGGCCACAACAACGAAGGATGCGCGGCTCTGTCGAGGACACCAAGCTGGGAACTCAGCGCCAGCCAGATCGCCCGGAGAACGAGCTTCAACTCGGACGGGACGACAACCATGAGTGGAAACGCCTTTATTCAGGTAACGAATTACGTCACTGGGTCTGCGACGGGCTGTCTCATACAAAGTTTTTCTCGCGCCGGGGGCTTTCAAGTGATGGATTGCCAGGAGCAAGCTCCCTACCGGCCGCGTGATAAATATCGGGTAAAGACGGAGGCCATGTTTGATCAGGACAAGTTTGAGTTGGTACTGAATGAGACTTGGTTTTGCGATGATGTTTCTTCTACTGCTCCGTACGTTTCTTATCCCTCGGCCCAAATGTCCATTGACAAGCTGACGGTCAAGTCCAGTATCCAATTCACAGCAACCAGCCACGTCTCTCTCCCACTAGAATGTCAAGACTTCCCAATAGAAGGGAGCAAAGACCTGGTTGTATTCTGCACCGGGTCCGAAGATACAAACCCGGTTTGGAATGGCACACTCGTAGGCGAGGAACATCTTCCGGCTTATGAGTCGCTTCAAGACCCATTACCTAATGCAGATAGTTGTACAGTCTCGTCGGTTCTCTCCCCGGCATGGAGGATTGGGAATCTAGCGGCGAATACGAACCCGGGCGGTAGTGTGGGCTCGTTGACATTTCAGATTGAGTTGGCGACGGGTGATACGCCGGGTAGTTACCCTGCTACTATCATCCAGAGCTGGGAGAAGCTTTCTGGGAATGACGAGAATACGGAAGGAAAGGGGGAAGAAAAGGATGGGGAGTGGTATACTTGTGGTTTTCCTGAGGGCGAACAGCCCGAGCACCTGACGGCGTGTACGTTCTTATATGATGCCAGCAAAAAGACGCTCGCATTGAATGCCACCTGGACTTGTCGCGATCTGGATAGAGAATATCCGTAAGTCCTCTTCTTTTCTGTTGTGAGTGGGCGTTTGTGTATGACTGACGGCTTGTGAACACACCATGACAGAATCTACTTCAGCGGCATCACGGACCATACCATCCCGGATCTGTCCTGCCAACCGGTCGCAGGTTCGAACGAAACGAGATGCGCGACAACGAGGGGCAAAGCATGGACGGCAGCTATAGAGTCAGTCAAATGGCATCAGTAGTTCAACAGAGTAGCTGAAGTTGCCGGTTTGAGAGGTGGTTGGTTCAGGGCCACGGATGTAACTGCTTGTGAAGTTGAGGTAACCCACAAGCGTGATGATTGGAGTTTATGTTATAGGCGTGGTAGTGGTAGTATGAGACAATAATAAATACATAGACAAGTCAGTAATTACAAGTTTGACAATAAAAGGAGGTTGACATAGTTGGAAAGCCAAAAGACCAAAATTTGCTACGGTGATAAGCAATATGAGGTGGCAAAAGCGATAGATCAAAACTGACCAATGACGAAATGGCCGAGGGGTTAAGGCGGTTGACTTAAGTACCTGCTTACTTGATTTTCAACTTCTCGAAAGAGAGCGTGGGTTCGAACCCCACTTTCGTCAGATTCATTTATTTTTTTGCTTGACTTGACTCTGACCGCATAAAACTGTTTGCTTTTGGTTTGTGACTAGAACAATTACAGTTGATTGCATTCACTATATTTTCTAGGTTGATATAGGTATCCGTATTGACGTGTTACTTGATGCCATTTTGTTATTCGCGTCTCTATATGGTTCTGTTGCAACAGGAATCGTTCCACTAACTTTTACGAGAGCCGCTGTAACGTGTAAGCGGGCCGCGTCATGAAGGCCCCCTAACGAGGGCCGCTAAAATGGCAAGTTAGTGGGTCTACCCGTCCCCCACGACCCTGTCAAACGTCCCAAGATTGGCCAGGATCAATTTCAGCCCATCTCGATGCTCACTGGCTCGAATCCTTCCGACATGGATGCCAAGACTTCCAGGTAAAGGCATGATCCGTGTCAGCGACTCCTTTTTGTCAATCTTGTTGGTTCACAATTTGTTTGGCTTGCCTTTGGCACCGTTTCCATCGACGCCAACTTCACGGATCCGACTCTCGTTTTCTTTCGTTCATTACAATCACGGCCTTGGTCAAATGTGCGACAGGTTGTTATAACGCCAATTGCTTCCTCCTGGTTCGGTAGAATGCTCTCCCAGAAGAAGGACTTTTGGCGCATCTGCGTCGAGCGCTGGCCACTGTCGGGCCGGTCAGCTTTCGTCCTTGCCCGATACGGCTTCATTGCATCTATCCTCGTCCTTGTGGGCACCTCGCTCTCTCTCCTCTTTTTTCGATATCCCGCCGCCGTCCCCGACCCCAGAACCATCTTCCGCCCGTCGCCGCCGGCCCAAGATTCTCGAGAAGACTACGATTACTTCAACCTCGCCAACACCACCGCGTCCAACGTGCACCCCATCGACACCTTGATCAATGCCGCACGAGAGTTTCACGATGCCAGACTGCTGAAGCGCTCTGAGGACCTTACCTCGGCCGCCCAGCGATATCGTGAGCGGCGCGGTCGCCACCCGCCCCCGGGCTTCGACAGATGGGTTGCATACGCCCTCAAGAACGACGCCATCATTGTCGAGGACTACTTCGATCGCATATACAAGGATATTGCGCCATTCTGGGGGCTTGACCCCAAGAAGATCGCTCTACAAGCCGCGAAATGGCCTCATATCGTACGTGTTCGCGGCGGCAAGACCGAGCAAGTGGGCGACACTCAGGGCCGTGTTCCTTGGCTTGAGCTCTGGGCAAAGCTGGTCTCGGACGTTGGAAAGCACCTCCCCGACGTCGACATGCCGATTAACTACATGGACGAGTCAAGGCTATTAGTGCCATTCGAGGACATCACCAGATACGTCGCCAAGGAGCAAGCTACCCGCACAATGCCACCCGCCAGTCAGGTCGTCTCCGACTACACGGGGCTGGCTGAGATCGACAAGATGGACAAGCCCGAAGATCCAAAGTTTACACATGCGCCCAAGTTGTACTGGGATTTCCTTCGTGCCACCTGCCCTCCTGGCTCGCCCAGCCGAGACGTACCCGCCATGGACGAACCGGCCCTGATACCCCAGTACCCCCACGGCCTTTCCGAGGCGTACGCATACCGTGGCTTTATTCAGAACTTTACTGCGGCCAGCGACGCCTGCCTCCAGCCCCACCTGCGATCGTACCACGCTTCCTTCATCGAGCCAGTTAGCATGTCGACCAGCACCGATCTGTTCCCTCTCTTTGGCGGCAGCAAGCTTCCTCAGAACAATGAGCTGCTCATCCCGGGTGCCATGTACATCACAGACCATGAGTTCTACTCGGGTGGAAACTCACATGGTCCGCCATGGGCCGAGAAGATAGACAAGATCATTTGGCGCGGTGTTGCCAGCGGTGGCCGCAACTATGGCGAGAACTTTCACCACTTCCAGCGCCACCGTCTGGTGGAGATGCTCAACGGGACCACTGTGTCGCGACTGGAGCGCAACGGCGCGCGGGCCCTGACGTTCGAGATGCCCCTCGACTCCGAGTACGACTTTTCTCGTCTCCACGAGCGCAAGATTGGCGAATGGCTGAAGGAATTTGCCGACGCGGGCTTTGTAGGCCGCAACTGTCGCGATAACAAGTGTGACTATGTCGATCCCTACTTCTCAGAGCTGGAGAGTATCAAGATGAAGGAACAGTACAAGATGAAGTTTCTTCCCGACGCCGATGGCAATTCGTTCTCTGCTCGTTTCCGCGGGTTTATGCTCAGCACCAGTCTCCCGCTCAAGGCCACGGTTTATGCCGAGTGGCATGATGATCGTCTCGTTCCATGGCTGCACTTTGCCCCGCTGGACAACACGTTTGCCGATATGTATGCCGTGCTCGACTACTTCACTCGGGACCGCCAAGGGGATTCGGCGGCGCAAATGATCGCCGAGGCGGGCAAGCTGTGGGGAGAAAAAGTTCTTCGTCGTGAGGATATGGCGCTATATGTGTTTAGGCTGCTGCTCGAGTTCGCTCGGGTTTGCGACGAGGCAAGGGACAAGCTGGGCTTTGTCGAGGACTTGCAGACCAAATAGGTTGGGTCGCAGCGGCGATCCGGGAGGGTAAACTGATGATGAAGATCGAGTCGAGGAAGCCGATGGACATGTCGGGTGCGAAGAGGGAGGGTGACGGACGGTGGAGGGATTTCACCAAGCAGTGCGGCAAAAGAAACCTGCAGCACAGTTGGAGAATGATGACATGGCTTCGTGTCATGGCCCACAGGTTGGACCGAACAGAGATGTCCAACCTTTGGGCTAACTTTTTAGCGCAACACGGCCATTCCGGTGTTATGGTTCACGCTATCACCATATGGTCAGACCTTGGGAGAAGGTGAATGATGGACTTTGACTGATGGCCTTGGAATCTGTCGAGTCTACATCGATTGCTGGCCGGCTTTGGAGGGAACATCTCCAGGAGCCAAACAGAGACAGAATTTTATACAGATACGAAGGTTATGGCCCATATTTGCTTTTACGATTGTTGTATTTATTATATGTGTCTTTTTTTTTCCCTGTTTTGGCAATCTTGGGTGTACTGGTCCCTGGTTAGTTTATAGAGCCACGATAGGTACGTGGTAATTAATGGTCTTTCTGATAAACACAATCTGAGGAGACGCCACGCAGATGAGAAACATGTTGTGGAACATGCAAGTTCACTCACACAATACCAGAAAGACCGATAGATGTGCTCGGGTGACAACTCGTTCCCGACACGTCGGCTGTGGACATGGATCACACTTCCGATCTTCCACCAAGTGGTGCGCACAACACCTCCGCACTGAACCTACCTACCGACTCGAGCAAGATTATGACAACCTCACGCCCGGCACAATATTCCGGGGCGCTAGAGGCTTACCCATTTCCTAGCACCCGAATAAGCTCACAACTAGACCAATAAGCGACATGTCGTCTTCACCATCGAACAGTCCTAGCTTCTCTAGTCCGGAGCAACAGACATCCAAGAACAAGACGAGACTTCGCATCATAATCATCGGCGCAGGGCCAACAGGACTCCTGCTAGCACATATCTTCTCCCAGCTTCAAGGCAAGGTCGAAGCCGGGATCGAGTTTATCGTCCTGGAACGACGATCCCGGGAAGAAATCGCAAGGCCAGAACATGGAGCTGCGCTGGTGATTTGGCCACATACTATGCGGGTCATGGATCAGCTGGGTTTGTTGGAGGGTGCAAGAGCGATAGGCGTTGAGACAGACGAGCTGAAGGTCTGTGACGCCCGTGCGAGAGAGTACCATCGTCTGGCACTGGAAGACTGGACGAGGAGTTTGTGAGTTCACTCTCTCTTTTTACTTCCTAGCACTGGTAATAAGTATTGACATGGATACATACACAGACATGGTGCCAATCCGTTGTTCTTTCATCGGGCCGAGTTTCTGCGGTTGCTGTATGACAGTCTCCCTCCTGGTGTTCAGGACAAGATTATTACCGGCAAGGCCTTCGCAGATATCCAGACCGACCCTGACCAAGAAGACGGAGGCGTGGTCGTTACCTGTTCAGATGGCACCATCAAAAGGGGTGATATCGTGATTGGTGCTGACGGTGTGCACAGCAAGGTGCGCGAGGTCATTATGCGGGAATCGGCAAAGATGAACAAAGCAGGGGAAAGTGCTGTCGGTATCAGGGAGAAACATGATCCGTTCGTGGCAGAGTTTCGGTGCGTATTCGGGTACACTGCCCATCTCCTGCCTGGCTTGGAACCGAGAAAGATATACGAGATGCACAGCACTGGAGCCTCGTCGCAGGTTTTCACTTTTAGGGATAAGGCGGGCTTCATGATTTACCAGAAGATGGACCGGCCATCGACGTTGAATAATAGGTCGACTGAAGGCCCTGAAACGGGAAAGACGAAAAGGCGATATACATTCAGTGACGTGGAAGAGTTCATGCTCCAGGTTGGGAATTTTCCTGTTGCCTCATGTGATAAACAGGCGAATGGTACTGGTTCGGTCAAGGTGAATGACCTCTACAAAGCCAGTTGCTGGACGGTTCTCTCGGACTTGCACGAGGGCATCGTGGATCATTGGCACGCGGGCGGAGCAGGGAGGATGGTCCTGGTCGGCGATGCGGCAAGTAAACAGACGCCCAACATGGGGCATGGATGGAACTGCTGTGTGCAAGACGTCGTGGTGTTGAGCAACTTGATTAGCTCGTTGGTAAAAAGCAAGTCACATCAGGACGACGAACAGGCTGTGACCGTCGAAGGGCTGGATGTGCTTTTTACAGAGTATCAGAGAACGCGGTACCCGCTATCCAAGGCTTGTCTTGAGACGTCGATGAACTGGGCGAGGTCGCAGGCTTGGGATAGCTGGTGGTATTGGTTTTTGAACAGACACGTTCAGACGACGGTGAGTACTTTGATGTGGGCTACTAAGATTCAGCCGATGGTGTATGGTCTGGGTCCGCAGATGCATCTTGGGCATGTGCTGAACTTCTTGCCGGAAAGGAGCAAGCTGAAAGGGGTCATTCCGTGGGTGAATGTTAGTCCTGATGGTAGACAAGACCAGGAGGAGG